AACTTTTGATACTTTAATCTTTCCATGTCTTGAGGCTATGATACATCTAACATCTCCAAAACCTTCTAACTTCTAGTGCGTTTTTTTATAACAGTTACAGAAGCATCTAAGCAAAGAAGACCATCCGTTTCACAAATTTAGCACAGGTCAGTTGTGAGATTTACTATGCTTCATATGGATAGTCAGTTGTGATTCCAGTCCTTTTCCCATGCTAAAAGTGTGAGATTTGTACTTAGGAAACATGGATACACTTCATGTACGACCCCAAGCGAAAGGAGTGGATACAAGGAGTGAGCTTATTAAGTTCTATGACGAACACTATTCTGCCAACATCATGCATCTGGTTGTATATGGGAAAGGTATATGTTGGTGCTAAAACAAAGCTCAAAATTCCCTTTTTTAAGGAAACAAAAATGTTAAAATAGTTAACATCTATCTATACTCATGTCTATGCTCTGGATGTTTTCAGAAAGCCTTGACAAAATTCAAGATCTTGTAGAAGGGATGTTCCAGGAAATCCAAAACACCAACAAGACTATCCCTAGATTTCCTGGCCAGCCATGTTCTCCAGACCATTTGCAGGTATTTATTCTTTTCGCAAATTTAGAATAACTTTTTTTACATGAAGAAAAATCACGCTAGAATGTTTCTGAGGTGGTATTTTTGTATTATTCTGTTTTAGATTCTTGTGAAGGCTGTTCCTATAAAGCAAGGGCACAAGCTGAGTGTCTCATGGCCTGTTACTCCTAGCATTCATCATTACGAAGAAGCACCAAGCCGGTACCTTGGCCATCTAATTGGCCATGAAGGCGAAGGAAGTTTGTTTCATGCCTTAAAAACCTTGGGTAAATTTATTTTTTCGGGGCACACACTTATAAAATTTCCAGTATATTCTTCATGAGAGGGGTGATAAATTGAAAACTAGATTGCCCTAGAGAATTTTATTCTAGTCGAGTATACAAAACTCTTGGATTCGACAGGTTACTGATGTTATTCCATTAATACAAATGCTCAATTGCTTCATTTTCTTGCCTCTTATTCTCTTTTCTTTTTGATGACTACTTGTGTGTTTAATTGCTTAATTCTTCCGATTACTCACAGGTTGGGCAACGGGACTATCGGCTGGTGAAGGAGATTGGACTCTAGATTACTCTTTCTTCAAGGTTTCAATTGATCTTACTGACGCTGGTCATGGTGGGTTTTTATATTGTCTTTCTTTTATTTTCTGTTGAATAGAGCTAGGTGTGTTTGGTTTTTAGTCAGTACATGTCTTGCCTTTGGTGAGTTTGCAGAGCACATTCAAGATATTTTAGGGTTGCTGTTTAGATACATTCAACTATTACAACAGAGTGGTGTTTGCCAATGGATTTTTGATGAGGTATGAATATATTAAATTGTACATGGCATTCAAATTTGTTGCTACGCCTGACTGATATATCTTTATTATTACTGAAGCTCTCAGCTATTTGTGAGACGAAATTTCACTACCAAGACAAAATACCACCAATCTCCTATATAGTGGATATTGCATCAAACATGCAGGTAATAGTTTTTAAGCTCTTTTGTCCATATGAAGTAATGTACTGTGACAGAAGTTTGATGATTTATATCCTTAAAGCACAAACCCAAGTTCATGGCTAATATATAACCCTTTTTCTTCATCTTCGGTTTCTTTTGCAATTATCCTTCAGATATTTCCGACCAAGGATTGGCTGGTAGGTTCATCGCTGCCTTCTAAATTTAACCCAGCCACTGTACAAAAGATTGTAGATGAGCTTTCTCCTAGTAATGTTCGGTAAGTCTGTGAAATTTAAGTGTCTACTATAGGCTTGATTGGCAGAGCATTTTAAAGAGCATTATGCCTTTTATCATTAAAACTTGATTGGTTGACAGAGCATTAAGTAGGGCATTTAGTAACTGCAAATGCTCTCAAAATGCTCCTCCCTCAATGCTCTCAAATGGAGCATTTCCAGAGCATTGATCTCTAAATATTTTTACAAAAATTAAAAATAAAATTATATAACTAACCAATTTATTTTATATTACAACAAAAACAAATTATATTAACTTTTAGTTATTTTAAATTCATATTTATCATTATTTTATTTATTCTATTATATTAAGATAATATTATAATATAATACTAATTCAATTAAATATAATT